GAGGTGGCCGCAGGTGACAGCAGCTGCCCCCCGGGGGGTCCCGGGGGTGTCACCGAGGGGTCGGGGGCGCCACAGCCCCGATCGGGAGCCCCTGACCCAAATTTGGGGTTTTTTTTTTGGGGGGGTCTCGGCGGCTCCGGCTCCGGCGGCGATCCCGATCCGGAGGGGGCGGGGCCTGGGAGATTTGGCTCCTCCCCTAAACCCCACCCCCTCCACAAGCCCCGCCCCCCTGCCCTTAATGAGCCTCGTTATCGGCAGATTTAAACGAGCTTTATTAAACGCCGGGGGCCCCCCCGGAGCTGGGGATCCCCGGGGGGGCTCAGGGGGTCCCGGGGGGGCTCAGGGGGTCCCCAGGGGGGTCCCCAGGGGGGTCCCCGGGGGTCTCCAGGGCCTGCAGCGCCTGCTCCAGGCGGGCGAGCTCAGCTCGGACCAGGGCGGCCTGGGGAGGACAGGGGTTAATTAGCGAGTTAATTAATTAGGGGCAGCGCTAACGAGGCCGCCCCCCCCCAGCACCACGGGGGGGCCTCGTTAACGAGGCCAGCGGTGCTAATTAAGGCCGTGACGAACCTGGGCGCGCGGGGCGGTGCCGGGGAGGCTCCGCAGGCGCCGCTCGAGGCTGATCCGGCGGGCGCCGAGCTGGGCCCGGGCGGCCCCCGGCTCCACCAGGCCCTGGGGGACCCCAAAATGTCACCGGGGGGGAAACGGGACCCCCCAAACCCCGCCCAGAGCCCCCCCAGAGCCCCGCCCTCACCTGGATCCGCAGGTACGCGAAGGTTCCGGAAGCCGCCGGAGCCCCCGCCCAGCCCGGCCCGGGCCCCGCCCCCGGGGGGAGGAGCCTCACGGGCCCCGCCCCCGAGAGCGTTTGGAAGGCGGGGCCGAGCGGCTCCAGCCAATCACGAGCCGGCTCCGGGACCTGCAGCAGCACTGAGGGGAAGCCACGCCCTCAACATGGCTGCCCCCGTGGGGGACGCCATCTTGGGGCACAGAGGGGCATGCTGGGATTTGGAGTCCCCAGCGCAGACGCCATGTTGGTTCTCGCAAAGCACGCTGGGACACGTGCCCGCCCCCGCCGGCAGCCATATTGGCCAGTCCCAGGGCACGCTGGGATTGGTAGTTCGCGCGGGCAGCCACATTGGCTGGCCGCAAGGAACGCTGGGATTGGTAGTTCCCATGGGCAGCCATATTGGTTGGTCCCAGGGCACGCTGGGATTGGTAGTCCACAGTAGACCACGCCCTCCAGCTGCCCCAGGGCACGCTGGGATTGGTAGTTCCCACGGGCAGCCATATTGGCCGGTCACAAGGAACGCTGGGATTTGTAGTCCCCCCCTTTCCCCCCACCCCGGGGGCTGCTGGGAGGCTCCGCCCCCTCCGCGCGGGGCTCACCTGGGGGTCTCGCGGCCCCCCCGAGCCGGAAGGTCTCGCGCAGGCCCCGCACGGCCCGGACCAGCTCCAACATGGCGGCCACCTGCGCCTCCAGCTCGGGGCTGCGCCAGCCGGCCTGGCCGGGGGAAACGGGGCTGAGACCCCCGGGGACACCAGCAGGGACCCCCAAACCTCCCGGGGAGCCCCAAACCCACCCAAAACCTCCCCCAAACCTGCCCAAAAGCTCCCTGGGACCCCCCCCAAACCTCCTCCAACCCCCCCAAACCCACCCAAAACCCCCCTGAGACCCCCAAACTGATCCAAAACCCCACCCAAACCCCCCAAACCCACCCAAAACCTCCCTGGGACACCCAAACTGATCCAAAACCTCCCCCAAACCCCCCAAACCCGCCCAAAACCTCCCCCAAGCCCCCCAAATGCACCCAAAACCTCCCCGGGACCCCCCAAACCCCACCTGGAACCCGCCCCAAGCCCCCCCCCCGAGCCCCCCCGGCCTCACCAGTTTTTGGGGGTCGGGGAAGGGGGCCTGGCAGATGCTGGGGGGCGCGGGGTGGGGGCGGGGCAGGCGCTGCCACAGCTCCTCGGCCACGAAGGGGGCGAAGGGGGCCAGGAGCCGCAGCCCCAGGTCAGCAGCGGCCACCAGCGTGGCCACGGCCGCGGGACGGAGCTCCGGGGACTGCAGCGACACCTTGGCCACCTCCTGGGGACGGGAGAGGGGGTTTGGGGTGAGAAATCCCGAAATTGGGACACCTGGGCCACCTCCTGGGGACGGGAGAGGGGGTTTGGGGTGAGAAAACTGGAATTTGGGATATTTGGGACACCTGGGGACAGGTTTGGGGTGAAAAACCTCGAAATTGGGACACTGGGGACACCTGGGGACAGGTTTGGGGTGAAAAACCTCAAAATTGGGACATTTGGGACACCTGGGGACAGGTTTGGGGTGAGAAATCCCGAATTTGGGACATTGGGGATACCTCGGCCACCTCCTGGGGACAGGGGAGGGG